CTTCAAATTACAAAGGTTTAAGATAGAGAGATTTGTGAATGGTGGATTTATTAATTTTGTAGTTTATTTTCTAAAAACAGTTACTTTTGTGGGGCAATTATATAAATATTTCTACAATACAAATGATACTTTTATCATCTCCATAAAGGATAAAATTGAAATTTTAACTAAATGACAAGAACGCTCTACAAATAAAGTTACAGGACACTAATTTTCTAAATGCCATTGTACTTTTGTGAAATTTCAAATTTTCCATTGCTTAATGGTAAAGTTATCTATTTAAATAATTTTTTAATAAAAAACTAATCATTATTTTGATAAATACACCCATCACAACCCCTTCTAACTTAAACTTTTGTATTTTGAGGGGTCGTTAACTCTAGACAAACCCATATATATGAGCAATGATCCAATGCAACAGTTGAGTTATAGTCTACAGCAACGACACTTCTAAAAATCCAAGTTCGTGGTATTTGTATGACCCCAAATTTTACACATGCACTCTCTTCATCTCAATAATCAATCCACAAAAAGAAAAAATGTTCAATTTGAACACTAGAAATGGCCATAATGAGTCCCATCCAAATTTTAGTGATTTTTCTAAATTTTAGTGATTTTTCTAAATTTTAGTGATTTTTTCTAAATTTTAGTGATTTTTTCTTTTTTAACATTGTTCATCTAATGATAATAAAATCATCCAGAAAAATTGAAAATGAAAAAATCCTTCTAAGGCTTAGATCTAAGCATCTTACCAAAATGAACAGCCTATGTTAATTAGGCTAAAAAGTACTTTTTAGGTTGTGTTTTCAATTTTTTATTTTTTTATGATAATTAATTAGAATGAAAAGAGTGAATATTTCAAAATTTGGATAAAAAAAATGGCCATAAGATGGTTTTTTAAGGTTGTTGCATCATATTACTATACAACGGTTGCATGAAATTATTGACCGTCAAACAAATATCTCTAACATGGTATTTTAAATGTGGTTGCATTATAATATGATACAACCGTTGCATAAAATCATTGTTCATATATATAGAAGATGCTACGGTACATCGTTTCGTGTACCGCTACAGTAAACACCCAACGGCCCATATCGAATCTGGGCTGATCTGACGATCACGGATGTCCGGTAGTATTTTAATTTTATTTTTTATACTAATCTAAATCACTTGAATTTTACACATGTGTTCTTAAAAAATAGGCGAATCTATGAAAAATATCAAAAAACTATTTTACATGAAATAAATTGATCAAAATACCCTAGAAATGTTTCAGTGGTATTTTGGTCAATTGTTTTCGTGAATTATTTTTTTTATATTTTTATTAGGTGCGTCTTGATGAAAAGAACACACACCTAAAATTTTAAGTTATTAAAATTTGTAGAAAAAAATTAAAATTTAAATAATTTTGAACAACTGTGCCCATCAGATCGGCCCAGATTCGATCTGAGCCGTTGGACGCACATGAGAGTACATGAAGTTTTATATATATGAAAAGTTTTCCGAATGCCTATACGTGATAAGGAACAATATTTTGGCCTCCTTATATCCACCATCCTTTCAAATTAAATGAAATTGCAGCACTCTTATTCTTTTTAAAAATCCCTTAAGCCATTGGCTAAAAAGCTTCAAACACCAATAAATTTCAACCATACCCCTTCCTCCTGCGTGCTAGGAGAATCAAATAGCTTCACTGAGAAGCTCCCTCTCTCTCTCTCACTCGCCATTATTTCACTGGGCAACAACAAATGCTCTGCGTCCTCTCTCTCTAAATTTCAGCAGTTCTCCCTCCTCATTCACTCTAGGAATTTCGGCCATACTCCCTCCTCTTGCGTGCTCTGCAAACCACAGAGCTTCATTGAGAAGCTCCCTCTCTCTTGCTGGCCATTACTTTCCCAGTCGATTACAAATGCTTTGCGTACTCTCTCTCCAAATTTCAGCCGCTCTACCTGCTCATTCGCTCTAGTAAGCTCGTTGTAGCTGCTAACTTCTCAAGGAGGCAGCACGCTGACAAAAACCCAACCCAAGACGACTCAAGATTAGGCTGATTGGTCTCTTAGGTATTATGGAGGATGGACGGCACCTAAAATATATTTATTGGGCTTTGCTGGAAAGGTCAAATTTGGAGACATTCGTATTGGGGGACTCTGGGATATATAAGGCACGTGATTACTATTCAGGTAAGTAAAACTGTTTGCCCTGCTATTTTGGGACTGATCATTTTGCAATAATCTGCACCATCTATTATTTTTCTTGTAGTAGTACAGTTAGCTCCTCTCCTGCTTATTATTTGTTCCGTCATGTTCGTTGAGAGTTGTTTTGATTATGAGCAGTATGGTGCTTAAAATTCCATTGGGGCTGTATAGTTGTTTTAACATGTATTTCCCTTGAAGTAAACTGGTATATTGTTAAATGAGCGGGACATTATGAGAGGACTCCTTATAATAGCAATGACATTCGGTCTATACATCATGTGCGTCAATATGATGTCTATAAGCTCATGCAAATTGAGGAGAAAATTGATATATTTATTTCACATGATTGGCTTCTTGGCATCACTAACCATGGGAACTGTAAGGAGCTTATTCGACTGAAGCTTTTTTTGAGAGAGAGGTAATATGTACTTACACTTGAGGTATATTCAGTGCTCTGGACATGATTATAAATCTCAAGTTTTGAATTTATTTTGTTTTATTTATTTATTGTTTGAATATTGCATATTCAAAATTAGTTGATAATAACAGCAACACGTTCGTTTTGGTATTGACATATTCAAAATTGCTTGATAATAACATCAACACGTTCGTTTTGGTATTGATTTATTTTATATTCATTCACCTGTTCCACTAAGGTTGCTTTATTCTTTCGTTTCATATTTTACATAGAAATGCAAACAATTATGGAGGTGTAAATATTCAACCTGGAATTTTAAATTACTTTCCTAAGTTTATGCCTTCAGATTGCATCTCCATTGCAATCTATAAAAACTGTTTTCCACTAAATGGTAAAAATGGCAATCTTTTGCCTGACTTGATACATGGGAGAGCCTGGAAATTTTTTGTGTCAAGGAGTTGTGTGTTGAGGCTTTAGGCATCACTAATGAGAAAGAGTAGCAAGAACACAATACAGTTGCTGAACGAATTATGGGTGGAGATGAAGATGGAGAGGAGAAGATGAATAAGGAAGAGAAAGCATGAGCTCCTCTGCGGCTGGATTCTTCAATCATTACATGGCAGAAATAGGGTACCATGGGTATATATATCCTCCATTAGAAACAAGAGGAAATTGTGAATCTTTAAAGATATTCTGAAGACCATTCAAGTCCAATTCACTTCACAAGCAAAACTATGTCAAGTACCCCTCAAACTCTGATTCTAGACCAGAGTATGTCCAAACTTAGACAAATATTTTCGTGGCATGTTCTCTCAAGCACAAACTCATGACTGCATGAAACAGTGTTAGAATCTTGAGCCTAATTGTGACTCAGAAAAATTGAAGTGTTGTGCCTGACTTTCCTACACTTCTTTTAGACTAGCATTCTTACAAAAGTTAGATTAAACAGCAATCGTAAACTAATGATATAGAATAATAACATGTCCCTATGGATGGTCTTGTCCCATATTCTGGAGTGAAAAACTGCTGCAGATCTTTAAAGATTTGCTTCCTATATCAACTGTGTTGGATGTGGATGACTTTGAGCAGTTTCTCGGCTTTCATATTTAACTGCTGGATCGGGAATGTGTTTTTCAATGGTTATCTTGGTCCCTCTTGTCTTCATCTATTGAGCATCTTTTGCATGAAAAGTGTGTCCAATTAATCCTTTCCCAACTTGAATGACACTTGTGGGAATGTTCTTGAGGTAATAGCCAATCTTTCAAGATGCAGGGGCTTTTAATTCTTGACTCTATGGAAAAATGGTAGAAAATAGGATTTCTATATCTAAAATTCAACAATTCTTGGAGGATCTCAAAGCCAATTTTCTGAGGTCTAGAAGAGGCAAAATTTCTTGGAAATCTGCTTAGTGGCCATGAAACTAAGGTTGAAAAATTTATTGCGAAAGGACCTTGACAGTATCAATATAAAATGTATCAAACAGTGGGGTTCTTGGGCAAACAATATATGACCTGAATGTAATAATATGTTCTTTGTTGGGATCATCTTCCTCTTTCGATTTCTTCACTTATTTATTTATTTTCACTCTTGACCTTCATTCCTCCAGCAGTTAACGCATGTTGAACCATTGAGGAAGATCTGCTGGCATAAATTTTTCATGTTTGTCTTGTGTTCTAACTATTTCCTGAAAGCAATTTCTCTAATGTAGCTCACTCATTTGTATGGTAGATTATTGTGAAAATGAGCTTTTGATAATAAACTATCAAGGAAAGTACAAAGCTCGTCAACAATATTTCCACCTATTATTACATTCGAAGTTTTCAATAGTTCATGTGGAATCTGATATAATCTATTTTATTATCTTTTTTCTTTTTACAATATAATTCTCTGTTTTCAACTATTTTGGTATGAATATCTAATATGTTTATTTTCTTTCTTATAAAAAATATGACAGAATTCTTTCTTTTGTACTAGTGCTGATGGATTTTCTGATGAAATACCATCTAACTCGTCATACTTTTCATTCTCTTAGCTAACACAATGTGAGAATTATTACAACTTGGGGAATCCCTACATAAGAACATCAATATCTCCCTTGAAATTAAGTCGCTAGGAAGCAAGATTTCTTAGATTTTGTTTTGTGGATTTAGACATGTTCTCTGTTAATAATTTCAGATTCGGGAGAAAAGTCTGGGAAGTAAGCCTGCAGCAGAGTTGCTCGTTGTGTGTTTTTCATGCCGACTGTGAACCTATCAGCTATGTATGCATCAACCCATTAAGTGCGACAACCATATAACCACTTGAGCTAACTTTGCTCTTGTAAGGACCACAATTTTCTCCCAGTCCAGCAACCGCACGACAATGGAGGGTAAGAAAAAGGCCTAGCGCTGTTTTGAGCATCACCGCGCATGTTTAAGAGCCTAGCGCTAGTTGCGTAAGAGGAAAACACAGCGCCAGCTATGTAAGGGGGAAAAGCAATACCGACTGCATAAGAGGAGAACACAACGCCAGCAGTGTAAGAGGAAAGCACAGTGCCTGCTGGTAAGAGGAGAGGTAGCGCCAGCTATGTAAGGAAGACGCAGTGCCGGCTGCGCTTGGGAGCCCATCGCCGACTGTGACCCAACGCCTTCTGTGGAATGAGAGCAAGAAAGGGCAGTGTCGGGAGTGTCTTGATCAAACATATGGCCGCCATCTGTGTCAGTGCCGCTCCGTACGTGTCAGATCCACGCGTGATTGCATCACCCACAGTGAATCCCACCAACCGTGGGTACTTAAGCCCTCCCCCTTTCCTTTGACGACTCGTTCCCTCATTCTACCTTATTCTCTCTCTCCCCCTAAGGAGCTCACTGTCGTCCCTTGAAGACAACCAACGGGTGACGGTGGAGGAGGCCAGAGAAAGCTGCTGAAGGAGATTGAAGACACCGTGAGAGTCATGGTAAGTGGGTTTAGCTTTTATGCATCCATGATTTTTGTAATAATGTTGAAAATGGGTAAGATGATAGAATAGAAAACGTCAAATGTGAATGGGTTGGCATGAGGTTGGAAATTTCAGAGTTGTGCTTCTCAATGCCATGACTACTTTAACTACATATATATATATATATATATATATATATATATATATATGATTTTGTTATTCATGAACACTCACGACCTTGCTCATGGTGAGGCTTGTTAACATGAACAAGGTTCCACGCCCAAAGTGGACCTTGACCATGAGATATTAAGTGTTCCTACAAAGCACGATAAGAATTTCCAGAATTTTGATTGTTTTTGCATTAAAGTGTTCAAGGGCCAAATGGCATCTAAATGGAACCAAATCGGTCCCAAATGAAAGACACGTATGTCTACTCCAAGTTTACTTTTATGTCATGATAAAATTGTACATGGATTAAGAGATATGTCCTAAGATGTCGAGATACGACACTGCTCACAGTCGATGCTAATTCCAGCAACTGTGGCCCTCTTTGGGCATTGTGTTTGACCCAGCAAACGGTGTCCAAAAGCCTCAACATTATCACCATGGGAAAGGTTTGTCAATGTACTCAAAATTGCATGTTTTAAAGTTTTTGAAATTCCCCGTGGATTTTGAGTTGTCCCGAAGTGCGTGAGTATGTCACCACGCACCATTGCTGGAAAATTTCCAGCAACTAAGGCTCAGTTGGTACTGAGCTTTTGACCCACTAAACGGCGCCTAAATTCTTTCAAATCACTGTTTTTGTAAAGATCTGTGTACTAACTCAAAGTTTTATGTTTCAGGCATTCTGAAACTCCCCCTAAATCGGGATCTATGCCCTCACAAAGAGGGGCATGTCACTATTACCTGCCACTGCATCAATTTTATAACTATGCTACACAAAGTTATCTTGATATGTGATAAATGTGAATGCCATATGATAAGTTCATGTGCATGCCATAAAGATATGTGAATGATGTCATATGACTGCATTTACTGAGAAAAAGGGGCCACGAGCACGACAGTGATGAAATGAATTCATAATGAATGCCAAATGCTACTGAAAAGACTTATGTGTCAATGCCCTGTGAAAGCTTATGAAATAAATGCCTTTCGCTAAAGACTATGGTTATGATGAAATATGATTCATCTGTATGAGACATTGACTGATGTGAATGAATTGAATACTTGATTGTAATGAACGGCCATTGTTTATATTGAAATTGACCACTGCATGGTGGGACACCCATTGGTGGTGGATATGTTATGATAATGTAATGAATGCCCACTGTTTATATTGATATTGACCACTACATAGTGGGACACTCATCGGTGGTGGATACTGTTATGATATTGTAATGAATGGCCACTGTTTATGTTGATATTAACCACTACACGATGGGATACTCACAGGTGGTGGATATTGTTATGTTACCACTTGCTATACGATGGGACACTCATCGGTAGTAAGGAATGCGATGCCGGCATATCCCCTAACCTGCATGATGATACGAACGGGTTAAGGGAGAGGATAGAGGGTCGTACCCTAGATTCATGAAATGAAACAAAATGATTGATGCCTTGCAAGGTAAGGGCCTATCGAACCCCCAATTTGCGCTGGGACACGTGTGTGTGTGTAGAGGGTATTACGAAGTGGATTTGCCCACCTATCATTGCCCTCCCTCTTGGGAGATAGTAGAGGTCCTAAGCAATGAGATTGGCTTAACCCAATGGATAGGGCCTCTACTGCAGGAGTAGGTGATTTAAGGAGTGCGTGAGTAATAATTGAATTTTTGTATAAGAAATGTTTAGTATTGCAATGATTGAATGATTAATGATTTCACTGATCAAATGTTCATGATCACATCGATTCAATAGTATCTGTCGCTTGGATGGAATGTTCATACTCGTTTCCTTAACCTGATATTCATATATGCTAAACTATGACTTCATATTGCTGGACTGAACCGTTATTATGCATGGAGGGAATCATTATAGATGCATAACACTGAACCTACTTACTCGGCTGTATAGCTCATCCCATCATTTCTCCTCTCCTTGTGGATTGATAGCGGCAGATGCAGGGCTAGGAGTTCGTGTTTTACGGCTGGAAGGCAAAGCTAGTTTTCTCGAAGAAGGTGCTTAGATCTTGTTTATGTTTAGGCTGTTGGGCCCCGGGTCCTTTTGTTTTTAATGGATATATGTAATATTGGGCCTAGATGCCCCGAACTGAATGTAAAATAATTGGAAGGATTTTATATAATAGATTTTGGTGTATGGGATTTTCTATATATTCATTTGCTTGTTGATAGTTGCACATAGTTATTTCCATGGTTGTCTCTATTAACAAAAATTAAGGCGTTGGGTCTACTCCTACCTAAGTGACAAACATTACATTGGATCACGAACCTGCGCTCGATCTCTCGTCGCCGTGTAAGGCACAAAGGTCGGGGGCAGGGTCGTGACACCACTTGAAGATCATATTTCTGAATCATAGCCAACCAATCAACCTCAAACTGCTCAATTATGTAGGCTGCAATACACTTCTTGAATACCTCTAAGAATAAGGGATGTGCACGCTCAACATGGCTTAGATGTGTTTTAAACTTTCCCATGATGATCCGCTTGCAATAGTGATAATTAGTATTCGGGAAAACTGTCTTAACTACAACTGTTGTAGCAAACGCCTGATCAGTGACAATTGTACCTGGTTGGTGGCCTCTCATTGCATCTAGTCAGTTTTCAAATAACCAAATGAAGGTTTATGTAGTCTCATTGAAGATGAGAGCAACGGAAAATTGTGTTAGCGTGATGATTAATTCTAAAGATTGGGCCAAAAGGCATACTGTATTCATTTGTTTGGTATGTGGTGTCAAATGTTACCACGTCATTAAAAAATTTGTATGACAATCTACACTTTGAATCAACCCATAAAGCACCAAACAACCTCCCCATCTCATCAAGTCAAACTCTATAAAAGAAGTTGGGGTCCAATTCTTTCTTCGTATGCAACTAGTTCATAACAACATTACCCTCTTTTCCTTTCAGTTATTTTCTCTTTCTAGTTATGTGATTCTCAAGGTCTTTCTCAATGAAAGGGACATTTTCTACGCCGCCGGCCTCTTCAATAAGGTTATCCATTGTAATCCTAGACTTAGCTATAGACGACTCCAATGTGTCAATCACCGTTTTCAATGTGTTTGGTATCTTTTGATGAGAGCGAATAAATCTAGTCTTGTTGGGCGTTGTGAGAATATGATTATATTCTTTTATAAACTTTGCAATAACCCATCTCTACTTCTCATTCTTCTTAATGCGGATCTTTGCCTGACATCCACATTTTGTGTGGGGCCGAGCATTTTCACTCCCATTATACATCTCACTACGAAAACCTTGCCTACAACATTCTATCTGACCAATTTTTTCACCATATTTCCATATGGTCCTTCTCTTTCTTATACCAAACCCTACGAATTTTGTGTACTTATTATAATAATAAGAAGCTTCATCTTTGTCAGTAAATATCATTCCCATTGCCGGTTTGATACTTGCACCTCTTGCTAGGGCTGCCTATGCATTTATAAATATAGGATCTCCTTGTCCAACTATTGCAACTATCCTCATCAAATGGAAAATCATGGCAAGCTTCATCTACCATAGCCTGTGCACCACACTCGTGCCCATTTTTTGAACTAGTAAGGTCAACAGGAGAGGAAGGAGATGCTGATGTTGAGGCGTCCATGACACATGTATAGTATACCTGTTTGGTTAATATGGTTAGCAATAAGAACCAAGTGGAACATATAAATATGACAAAAGAATCATACTTCAAAAAAAAAAGAAAATCCTTCAAGGATTCTATAAATTAAAAATATCAAATATAAATACTCCAAAAAATAAAAAGAATAAACGAGAACCATTGTTCATTCTCAAAATTCAGAAAAATTGGGTCAACCATATGTATGATAAGAAAATATAAACTTCAAAAGATGACATAGTACAACCACTCACTTTTTCATATCATATTCAGACTCAAGGTTCACAGTTCCATTTAAATGGAATATACAAAACAACGAGTACTAGCTACAAACAGTGCAAGCAAGTATGATTCCCAACATCTTGATGCAACTAACAAATAGCAATAAATTAATACTTTCAAATTTCAAAAAATATAGAATTTCAAATATTTGGGGGAAAATAAAAAATAGAAAATAAGTAATTTTTTTTTTTTTAGTTATTATAATAGCTGTCCATTTTGTTATGTGATTTTATCATTTTTACGGTTATATATGGACTACAAATCAAACATTAACAACATAGAAATTCAAATATTCAGGGAAAAATAAGTAATAGAAAATAAGTGATATGGGAATCATTTTATTGGTTATTATAATCTTTGTCCATTTTGGTATATGATTTTGTCATAGTTTTTTATTTACAATTTCATTAATTGATTTACAAATAAAAAAATAAAAAACCATATATGTTGAGGGAAAGATGAACTGAAATTTCAGCAGAAAACTAAATTTCTAAATCAAAGTTAGGATTTTTCTAGTGATTTACATACTATAAATTGAAGAAATTATTCGTGCGTGAGGGATTTTAAACCATTTTTCTATGGTCATTATCTCTACTATTTACATAAAATGCCTGTATACAATACACGCATATAATCCCCAATTCTGCTTGATAAATGTTTTTGAAAATGTAGATTACTTGAGGCCCAATATACAAATTCAGTGCCAATATCAATGTGCTTGGATGTAGTGCCTCATTCTTTTGGGGCCCGTATTGCAATCAAACAGTTGCCATGCTTTCCTGTGCTAAATCGAAAAAAAAAAAAACCATATATGAACTCAAATTTTAGCATGAGAGAAAAATGAACTGAAATTTCAGCATGAATTTTTATGGTTTTACTCAGAAAACTAAACTTCCAAATCAAAGTTAGGATTTTTCTAGTGATTTACAGACTATAAATCGAAGAAATTGTTTGTTACTCACCGTTTTCAGTGCCCTAATGGTGAGTCGTCTTGGGTTGGTTTTTCCTCAGCGTGCTACCTCCTTGAGATGCCAGTAGCTACAAGAAGCTTACTAGAACGAATGAGCGGGTAGAGCGGCTAAAATTTAGAGAGAGAGGATGCAGAGCATTTGTAGTCGCCCGGAGAAACGATGGCGACCAAGAGAGAGGGAGATTCTCATTGAAGCTATGCGGTTCGCAGAGCACGTAGGAAGAGGGGGTATGGCTAAAATTCCTAGAGCGAATGAGGAGGGAGAGCGCCTGAGTTTAGAGAGAGAGGACGCAGAGAATTTGTAGTCACCCCAAGAGATGATGGCGAGCGAGAGAGAGGGAGCTTCTCAATGAAGCTCTCTGGTCCGCAGAGCACACAGGAGGAAGGGTTATGGTTGAAATTTATTAGGGTTCGAAGCTTTTCAAGCCAATGCTGCGAGGGATTTTTAAAGCGAATTGAAACCCTACGATTTCATTTAATTTGAAAGGTCGTTAGATATAAGGAGGTTAAAATAATGTTTCGTAT